AGTTGGTTGTGATACTATTCTATTAGATGATGATCATGATGATGAACAACAAGAATTTTAATTCATTAGTAATTTTATCGTTTATGAATCTTAATTTACTCATAGTGATAAAGTACTTTATTATTATTGATTATTGATTATTAATTAGTATTACTATAGTTACTATTATATACCATGAATACTTTATAAAATCAATAACACGTGACTATGATGTATCCATCTTAGTAACAAACATAAAAATAGTACTTTAGAATAGTTTTTTTGGTTGTTTTTTTGGTTGTTTTTTTTTTGTTGTTGTTGGAAGTATATTCTATTGTAATGTGCAATGAAATTTTTTGAATGAACTTTCAAATGTTACAATGTTGTTATTGTTGTTGTTGTTTTCTAATGATTCTAACATGAGATCCAATTTTTTTTGACAAATTTTCTATAAAAATCAAATCAATATTATATATACATATATATATATATATATATATATATATATATATATAGCGACTTAATTCTATTATGGTGTGAATGTGTGTGAGAGAGTGTGTGTGTCTGTGTGCTACTTGTGAGGCCCTCAAATTTTGTCATCATTTCGATCGAACGATATTATCGAAAGGGCTCTCGACTTTAGTGGCCCGTGGATCTGACTCCAAGGAGATCGTAATGATGATTGTTATTGAAATATATATGTCGCCTATTCTCGTATATCATCATCGACTTTAATCACGTTAGTCAGTAACGGATTTAGATAAGTCAAATAATGAGAATGGACTTTTGAATACATATATTTTGTATATAAAGCGAATGGAATAGAGAGAAGAGAAACGATGCAGAGTGGAGATGGAGGGTAAGCCAACTCCCCTTTAACCAAGCGTTAATCAATATTTATAGTTACACAAAAATACGTTGCAGATATGTGTTCAGTAATGGGATAAGAAATGTACACACACCTATGTGCTCATATAAAAACATTCAAGATTGATAAGCGAATAATTAACAAGGTCAGAATTTGACTCAAGTAGGATGAATAGATTGAGTTGTCCGAAAGCTAGAATAAGGTATATTGGCTTAACATAATAACCGACACTACATACTTATATCGATATGAGTAGTATATAGTGATAGCTAAGATAACAATGTCTAACAGAAGAAGGTCTAAAAGGAAAGAATGGAAATAGAAAGTAATTAGTATAAAAATGCAGCACTAATGAAATCTGAGACGATTGATTAACATTTTGCTAATGGAGTATTGACTGTATGATTCTTAGATTATACTTAGAGGTTTAGTAATTAGTGTATTCGAATATATCCGATTATTCTTATTTATGTTCCTGTTCATTACAATCTGAGTATGTTATGTTTATTTTGTTATCGTTCATGACATTAACTACGCCTGATACCCTTCGTGAAGGAGCATAGGCCAACGACCAGCACTTTCCATCCAATCCTGTTCTGAGCAATCCTTTCCAATTGCTAATTATTGTTTTGATGTTTGCTTCCAATTCTTGACTGAGTGTATACTTCGACTTTCCACTTTTCTGTTTCCTTTTAGGATTTCTAGTTAGGGCTTGCTTTGTGATGTAGTTTTGATAATTTCCGCAGTCTATGTCCTATCTACTACCAACAGTTTTTCCTAATATTAATAGTAAATAATAAGTTGATTGACAATTAAACTATATTTAGTCATTACAAACTCACTGAATTATGAAATGATGGAAAAGATTTGTAACTAAGTGATACGTTTTGCCAGATCGAACTCTATATTCGTTTCTTAAGTTATTCTTGTAACCCCTAAGCTAGAACTTTACAGAGCGACCTGAACAACGAGAGAGAAGACGCAAAGTATGCGAGAAGTACTTTACTCCAAGGTTCATTTTAATACAGAAAATACAGGGTTTTTATAATAGTTTAAATATCCTTGGGTTGCTCGGAGATTCTGGAATGCTACTAACCATAGTAGCAAGGTAGCAATCAGTCAATCAGAACCTCTGCATGTGACGTTTCACTTCCTTTATATTTCTAGCTAAAAGTTCAAGTGAACGCTGATTAGATGAAACGCTTCTTAGTGTTTCCTGATGCTTGTTTGTCTTTTGCAAGAAATTTTCTTGATCACTCCAACACTAAGTAGGGTAATTTAAGTGATGTTGTAAGTTGATAGTTTAGTCACTTTCCTTCTACGATTGGGGTTATTATTTAAGAATACGATGAAACCTTCATAATTTAATGTTCTAGTACGGTGGATGTAATTTACATGTCACTCACAGAATATACTTCCTAACTGTAGCTATTACCTCGACGTGATGGCTCGTCATTCATACCATAATGAACCAATCAAGCTACACTGGCTAGAACACTCTTTCCATTAGGCTCTAACATTCTAAACAAGCTGAATGAAGAGCGATAAGATAAAATGCAGCAAACCAGAGTTTGACAGATGAACTGGTACTACTGACTCAATAGGCGTGTGACTCAAGTAAGGTATTTCCTTCGAACTATTAAGAGTTTCAGGAATGCTGCCTTTCCACAACGAAATGGGAAACTAGAAAAGATTAAACCTAACAATGATACATCACATTTCTGTAACCGGTAGTAAATGTATGAAGCTAACTGTGATAATTAAGAGGATTTGAATGATAGTACAAACTAAGAAACTCAGAAATAATCCAATTTAACCAAAAAGTATTAGATGAGCACGAATGAACGTATTGTATTTGGAATTCGAAACCAGGTAGCCATCATGTACAGAATAAATCATCAGTTCATACAAACATCACAGCTGGCACATTCAGAACAGGCTGTGTGTGACTGACTTTAAACAATTATCTCTTGATTCAACAATATTAACCGAATTTCTCTTTCTGATCCTTTGAGAAGAAAGTCCTTTCATGATATAGAAAACCGGGAATTGCCAGTCATTCTTGCGGTACTCGAGAGTGTATTTGATGTATTAAATTGAATCATTAAAGTATAGAAAATCTTTTCCAATAATCACTTAGTAGAAATGTACACTTATTTATTTACTTCACAACTGAATGTTTCTTCCCTTGATTCGGTTTTCAATTTATCATCTTTATTGCTTAATACTAGTTGTGGAAACGTCAAGTTTAACGTTCAGTTTAATAGTATCCATGCAAATCAAAATAAATTGTTCTCAGTACTAAATGATATCTCTTTCATCAAATAGGATTGATCTCACTAATAAGAGTGATTATACTTGTGATGAATACTACTTATTTTGACATGCATAAGTAATATATGGAATACCTGCGAGAAGAAGATTAAATTAAAGAGAACAGGATGAGAAACAGAGAGTAATTGTGTTAACAACAGAATTGAAAGAATCATGAAGCGTGTAAAGCACAACTGAAGGAAGTTGTGCAAATAAAGTATTGAACGTATGGTTTTCATATTTTATCAAAACGCTGTTATTTTGCCCCCCTTTCTACTGAATTAAGGCAACATCGATGCAATATGAACAGTATGCACATATGTCAATAAGAGACTGATCAATTGCAGTCCTAAAACATCAATCGGTAGATTCAAGTAAACAACAATACCAAGTGAATTGAGTAATTGGTTTTCACTTTAGTTAGTACTTATCAGTAAGTAATCTTGAAGGAAACACTTATTCATTATGAAATTCGAACCCATATCATCCAGTTTCAAAGTTATAAATTTCACCACTGAATTATTTGTGCACCCAGTTTTTTTAGCGAGTTAGTTTTCTATGGGATGGGGTGGCTAATCCCATGCCCAAACCTCCTCCTTTATCCGGGCTTGGGACCGGCAGAGGCTACCAGAGGGACTCCAGATGGAGTTTCGTACACTGAGTGATTTCCTATAAAATGAAAACATTTACAGTGTTTGATCATTGGATAGTAACTAATGTCATTTTCTGAAGGTATTACCTAATTTCTCAAATCAAGGTACATGAAGTGTGTTTTAAAACAAATGAACCAACAAACTCTGTTCCATTTATTTTAATTTAAGGAGCTTGATGGCACCTTTGTACTTTGTAATCAAAAGAGTGTTGTAGTTATTATAATATAGTTTTCCGTTAGTATATATTCGGTCTTCAAATTACTGTCTATAATCAGATGGGCAAGACCTTATCTAAACACAAGTTTAAAGATAAAACATTTGTACACATGAATGATATGGTTTTACTGAAAATTCTGTTCTTAGTGATCTACTTTTAACTAACAACTAACTAATGTGAATGTTTTAAACACAGAATTTAATCTGTATACAACAAATCAACTCACACGTCCGCGTCATGCCTCCTGGATAGTGGGACGAATGACTTATGAACTAACGTGAGCGATAATCCGGGTGGCAGAGATCGGGCTAATCACACTTCGAAATGAATGATATTTCAGTTGATGAGTCAATTAAAGCTACATTACCATGAAAAACCTGGATTCACTAGACAGCCGTTTCGTCCTAGTGTGGGACTCCTCAATAATGCCCATTCACAAACCCAGAACCTCCGGTCTCCCACACGAACGCTTGGTCTCTAGACTACCTAGCCGGCATCTAATGATGTTAACGTATAACTTCAACCAACCCACGAAATTAAATCACCGTCCACCATTATCTTCAGTGAGCTATCGCATCTACAACAGACACCGTTGAACTCCACTGGTTATGGTCCTTGGTTCGAATCCCACAAGCAGTATCATGGATGTGCACTTGTGGGGAGTTCTGTACTAGGACGAATCAGCCATCCAGTGCTTCCAGGTTTCCTATGGTGATCTAGCTTTAATTGACTCATCAAGTTAACTATTAAAATTACTACAATCTCCACAAATCTACCATCCTGATTAATGAGATATTTGTAGATAATTTCAGTATATATTGAAATTCATTTTTATACTCGTTCAATGTTTGTTTCTTTTCTCCCGTAAATAGAAACTATTTTCCATAATATAAACTGAATATAAATGGATTATAACTTGTAATGTATATGAGGCTCAATTCTCTAATTACTTTGATCACACCTAGCTACTTTATAAATGAATATGAGGGAATCTTGAAATTTTATTATTATTATTATTATCATTATCATTATTATTATTATTATTATTATTATTATTATTATTAGTAGTAGTAGTAGTAGTAGTAGTAGTAGTAGTAGTAGTAGTCATCGTCGTCGTCGTAGTAGTAGCAGTAGTAGTAGTAGTAGTGAAAGTAGTAGTAGTAGTAGTGGAGGTATCAGAAGTAGTAATAGCAGTAGTAGTGTTAGTCGTAGTCGTAGTAGTCGTAGTAGTAGTAGTAGTAGTAGTAGTAGTAGTAGTAGTAGTAGTAGTAGTAGTAGTAGTAGTAGTAGTAGTAGTAGTAGTAGTAGTGAAAGTAGTAGTAGTAGTAGTGGAGGTATCAGAAGTAGTAATAGCAGTAGTAGTGTTAGTCGTAGTAGTCGTAGTAGTAGTAGTAGTAGTAGTAGTAGTAGTAGTAGTAGTAGTAGTAGTAGTAGTAGTAGTAGTAGTAGTAGTAGTGAAAGTAGTAGTAGTAGTAGTGGAGGTATCAGAAGTAGTAATAGCAGTAGTAGTGTTAGTCGTAGTAGTAGTAGTCGTAGTCATAGTAGTCGTAGTAGTAGTCGTCGTCGTAGTAGTAGTAGTAGTAGTAGTTATTGTTGTTGTTGTTGTTGTTGTTTTTGTTGTTGTTGTATTCTAAATATCCTGTAAACTGACAGGTACTGTAACAACACATGGAAACAACATAAGTAACTAAAGCTAACCAAAAGTCACCATTAATTAGATAGAAATAGAAATGGTACAGACGGTAATACAATACACATTCATAATACACACCAATTAATGAGACTATGTTTTGTTTAAGAGGTCGATTTCAGGTTAATTTCCAATACAAAACAGAAACAACATCAACAAAATGTGTTTTATCCTGTTAAAACTATTTTGAATGTAGACAAAACAGTGTGATATAGAGAATATAGAAAATGCATTAGAATAAGATGATAATGATTAGAATATTATTAGTAATAAATAAGTTTATTATCTCGAATATGAAATGGATATCTACCATTTACAATTGATTGGTCACTGGATAATGAGTGATCAATGTTATATATGTCAAGTCATTCTTAGTGCAGAACGAATCCTATCGACCAAGTCTCAATGTGGCCAATAGTCTAGGGGACTCGATATTGTATGCACTATGTTGAGATAAGATGATGATTGGAGATGATAGTCAACATGAAACACTAGACCTAGGTTTCGTGCTACTAGGCACTGGTCAGCAAATTGTACCTGTAATATTGAGGGGACTGATGCTCACTGACGGATTCGATCCCGTGTCACCCAGCTTCACGGTTAGAGACGTTACCACATTGCAACTTGATCGATAGGATTCAATCTACATTAAGAAACATCTGACATACATGACATTGATCACCCATCACCCAGTGATCAATCGATTGTAAATACATCTCAGTCATACAGGAGGTCAGTCTTAGTCTGGATAACTCAGTGGTAACGTCTCTGACTGTGGTGCTGGGTGACACAGGAATGGATCCTTCAGGGAGCACCAGTTCCCTCAATATTACAAGCACTCCTTGCTGACGAGTACCAAATAGCACGGAACCCGTGTCCAGGGTTTCCTGTAGATTACCTCCAACCACCATCTAAATCTCAATACATAGTGCCCGCAGTGTCGAGTCACCTAGATTGGTGGCCACATTGCAACATGATCGATAGCATTCGATCTACACTAATAAGGACTAGACAAGCATGACATTGATCACCACCCAGTGATCAATCGATTGTAAACACATCTCAGTCATGCAGAAGGTCAGTCTTAGTCTGGATAACTCAGTGGTACCGTCTCTGACCGTGGAGCTGGGTGGCACGATATCGGTTCCGTCAAGGTTACGGATATCTATCATACTGCTGAGTTGAGTTTTATGTTATAATCATTACTACCTTCTTAACGAATATATTGAACTCGTTGTATGTTATTTAGGCTATATGAAAGGATACATAAAAATCTCTAAATGAACTACAATTATTATTACTACGGTTATCAGAACACATTTTATTATGTTGCAGAGATGAATGAAGACAATTAGAGGGGGTAGTTGTGATGAATCTTTTGAAGTCATTCATAATATAGTTTTGGATGGACAATTAAAATCTTACAAACTCTTAATAGGTGTTATTTAATCAAAGATTAACTATCTAATTCATTCACATCACGCCATTACAGAGTTTCTTACTTACTTACGCCTGTTACTCCTCGTGAAGGAGCATAGGCCGCTCACCATACTATAATATTTAATTTGCAAAATGTTCAGTAATTGTCTCGAACTTCATTATTCTTGCATTTCTATTTTAATTGCTTTCTATTCCCGTTCTTCCTTTCTTGATCTTCCCAATCTTCTGTTGCCAGACATTACATTCCTGACTTGCGCCATATACTACTTATGTCAATATAAGTAGCACGCATCACAATAATAATAATAAATTAACGACCTTCAACTAATGGACTAAATTTAATGCTCCGAAGGTGTTTTCAAGGAGTCAACAAGAGTCATGAGTGATCAGTAGTGGTATCTAGAAAATAAATCTCACTTTATTTAAGATTCGTCAACTGGATGTATCTGTACCATTGTGGTGTGACCTACTTATATTGATATAAGTAGTATGTAACGTGCGTTAAAAGAACGTAATGTCCGGCAGCAGAAGATGGCGAAGATCAAGAACACAATGCAATTGTAAGAAAACGCATGTACAATGGAATGGGAGACAATGGATTAGTGTTTGCAACGGGAACAGTACAGTTTGATATGATGGAATGATATTTTGCAAATTGACGATTGACTTTATGGTATTCACATTATATTGAGATAGTCTGTAATTTTTGTGCCAAATACGGTCGATTGTCCCCATCCGTGTTCTTGTTCACTACATTTGGTGTCGCTGCCACCCAGGAGAGGAGGAGTGTGCTGTTCTGCGGACGCCGTTGCGAGCCTGGAGTTGAGGTGCCAGTTGGGGCAGTCTGGTGCGGAGAGGTGGCGTCTGGTGAAGTGTCCTGGCGGGGCTGCGTTGGCTGTAGCGGGTGCTGTCGACGGAGTGGAGCGTCGGGACGCGCGGCTGCTGGGCGGACATCGGATGTAGATGGCTCAGCAGGCCGGTGGAGTGCGGATGTCAAGCGTCCCAGGTGCCGGGTGGATGTTGGTTGTTGTTTCCCCGGCAGGTCGACAGGGCTGTGGAAGTCAGCGCGCTGCAGACTCGACATCTTGACGGAGAGCGTGGCACAGACTGCAGAGACGGAGAATGTTGCACGGCGAGCATGAACCACCACAAGAACGACTGCTTTAAAGGGGGGGACGAGTGTGGTGTGACCTACTTATATTGATATAAGTAGTATGTAACGTGCGTTAAAAGAACGTAATGTCCGGCAGCAGAAGATGGCGAAGATCAAGAACACAATGCAATTGTAAGAAAACGCATGTACAATGGAATGGGAGACAATGGATTAGTGTTTGCAACGGGAACAGTACAGTTTGATATGATGGAATGATATTTTGCAAATCGACGATTGACTTTATGGTATTCACATTATATTGAGATAGTCTGTAATTTTTGTGCCAAATACGGTCGATTGTCCCCATCCGTGTTCTTGTTCACTACACCATGTTAATACATATATTTAGATCCCAACACAGTTCTTGGTATTTCAAATACCAACATGTTATCGACTAGGTTACAGGATCACGATCATCATCATCATCCAAAGCATCATCATCATCCAAAGCATCATCATCAACATCCTAAGCATCATCGTCATCATCCAGAGCATCATCAACATCCAAAACATCATCATCATCATCAACATCCAAAGCATCATCATCAACACCCAAAGCATCATCATCATCCAGAGCATCATCATCAACACCCAAAGCATCATCATCATCACCATAACTGAATACTTATCAAGTTATTTATTTTAAAGGATGCTTAACCATTACAAACTTAACATAGAAACAATGAAGCAATAAAGAAAAAAAAAGAAAAGAAATCAGCTTCCAAATACACAAACATAAGTAGTTTTTTTTCAATAAAAACAAAGTAGGAGGAAAATTAAAGAAAATCAACTTTTTGTTTTGTCAACTAATCAATAATTTCGTTGTTGTTGTTGTTGTTGTTATTTTATCTGAACTGATGCTTGTTTATTTGTAGGTTACATTCGAGTTGTTTATATTGTTTTTTTCTTAAATCTTGAATATACTACTTATATGTTTTATCATTAGAAACAACTGTGTATGTAATAAAGATGATTGATTGTTTAAAATATTCATGTTTTGTTATGATATATGAACATGTTCAATAATAATAATAATAATCTAACACTATGAATGAATATATAATAGTTAACAATTTATCATTTACAGAATTGTAAAGTTATTTACATGATAAGTAATAATGAGGTTAGATGCAAAGGTATTAGGGAATGATGGTGGTAAGTCAGTTGATGAGGTGGTTGTGAATCCTTCATCAACTGAGATGGTTAGACCGAGTGTTATGTATGCCTAAACACCGATTACCACGACGTGCAATGCTGGGGTGGGTGGGTGGGTGGTTGGAAGGAAGGAAGGAAGGAAGGAAGTTAGAAGCAGTCAAACCAAAACGTGGCATCAGTCCACAAAGTCACTAACTTCTAGTCTTAGCTATGTTGGTAGACGCAGACTATTTGGTTGGGTTCCTCGTGACTATCTTAAACAATGGTTGCAAACTTTGTGTGACATGACTCAGAATCGATCAAAATGGCTTAGTTGTATGCACTCTTTGTTTTCCCTAAAACTATAGGATTAAAATCGCTTCGTATCTTTCATTCTAGGGACTAATTCTTTCTTCCTGTATCATATCCCTATATGCAATGTCAACTTGAACCGATGCATATATGTGCCTGGTCCTACGTTGTAACTGACTGACTGGCTGAGAGTTACTTACAACTATCAATTGAATGGATATCAGTCAGTCATTAACAACGTAGAACTTCGTATGTACGTACATCAGTTGGAGTCGCCATACCACATTACCACACATATACAATTGTCGATTCAAATCCCGTAGTGGTAGAGGTAGCAAGAGTATAAGCAGTAATCAGAAAGATTAGGGTTTGGAGATGTTATTTAAAGAGTATAATCCAGTGAAATAAATTTGGAAAGAGGAAAATAAGGGACATGAAGAATTCAGAAGATTAGAATTTGGGAGAACACAAAGAGTGTATGCACCTGCGCCATTGCAAACGATTTTGAGCCATGTCATTCAGGGTCTCTAACCATTGGTTGCTATCATGTCATGGTCCCCAACCAGATTGAATGGATATGGAAAAATGAAAAAAAGAGAATGAAAGAATAATTCCATAAGGAGGTATATATTTTCAGTAATACAACCACACATACAACATTTTAATAAACAATAATTTATATCAGTTTAGGGGTTGTGGAGATTGTTAAGTTTTTGATTGAGATTATGAACCGATTGATGTTAGACCACCATTGAAAACCTGGAAGCACTGGACGGCCGTCCCGTCCTATTGTGGGACTCCTCAGAAGTAC